TTGCAATGAATTGGTCAGCGCCAAGGCAAATTCGCTTTTGCGCATGCACTAAAATGTCCATGAATCGTGGAGATTTTCACAGCCTTTACCAGGGTCTTCTCATTTTTCACGCGCCATGCACGAAGAAGACCCTGGGGACGAGGTTGGATATTTGCAATATTTTTAGTCATTCTCGTACCCAGAGCCCTTCTTACGCGCGTTCGACCGAGCACGACGAGGGGCTCTGGCCAAATCCATATCAAACTGGCTTCTGATTGGCCAGAACGAAATACATGGTTTATTATAGTAAATATGAATAAAAATACACAAGCGCTCCACGAAGCGTTGGTTTCCCTTTGAAAATTGGGAGAAAAGACATTATTAAAGTTGAAAGAACAGCAGTACGAAGCAGTTAGGAAGATTGTTGTTGATAATCGCCCACAAAAGCAGTAGATGTCGCTAATTTTATTTATTTAACTGATCAATTAGTTGATTGAAATTAATAGATTGAGACGTGATGTTCTCGTAGCAAAAAGTCAGCATATTTATGGGAGATGCTCGTCGTATTTCCAAATCAGTGATGTTAATCAAACAAATCTGTGTTACATGTTCAAAGCTGAAGTGCCATCTGAAGAGAAAATATTAAAGCCAGCCAGAATATGAAGTTAATTGTGATGACTATTTTCTTCCTAGAAACCGATTTTTTACAATTTTCAAATGATTTGCAGTATAGTATGTCTTATGTATGACTGTTGACTTTTAATAAAACACAAAAAAGTCTAAAACTCTGTACAACAGCGACTTAAAATCGAATATAAAATAGTGAGACAATCTCTCGTCTTCGTATCCGTAGCCATTACTGCTTTGGCAACGTTTAAGAGGGAAATATATACTAAATTTTTATCAACATGCATTGAGAACATCACGTCTTACCTACTAATTGATTTAAATAAATAAAATTAGCGAAACCTACCGCTTTTGTGGGGTTTTCCTGGAGAAAAACTTTCAAAACGAAACAAACAAGAAAGCCGAAGTGTTTATCCGCGTTTGACGTTGAGCACGCGCAGTGTTTAACCAGATACCATGTTTTTATGGTATCCGGTTATGGATTTGGCCAGAGCCCTTCGTCGTGCTCCGTTGACCGCGCGTAAGAAGGGCTCTGGGTACGAGAATGTATTTTTAGTCTTCATAAAAATTTGCGGGGTTAAAGGTCAAAATACCGGAAGTGATCAGCATAAACTGCAAAATATAGTTTAAAATCACAGTTTTTGGTTGAATAATACTTGAACTGGAGATTTAAAGTAAAATGCGAAGTCGTTTTACTTATATTAGGGAATGTTGGGCATATAAAACGGACTTAGCCGCTGACTACAAAAGCGGGAGCAAAATGTCCCATATTTCTGGTAATGTTTTGAGAAGTCAGCATGTAACAAAGTAAACTTTTTCTGGAGTACTTTTACTTGGAACGAAGTCGTTTTAAGAAGTAAGGTTTTACTTCGTTATTTTCCGTTTTGTGGTGAAGTATTTCGTTACTTTCTAACTTTTGTTTAATTTTACGTCATTTATTTCTGATTTATTTTAATTTTGGGATAGGTAATACGACCTCTACGTGTGCCTGTGCCTTTATTTAATGGATTTGTTATATCTTTGTTTACTCTTACTCAAGTCGTTTTATTGTTAATTACTTCTACTTTTACTCGAGTACAAATTCAAAGTAATTTAGGCACCACTGGTTCTACTCACAGCAAAAGCGGGAAAAAAGTGGGGAATTCTATTTCAATAGAACCACTCATGTGCAACCATCCGTAATCGTGGAGACAACAACGGACCTTCAAAACAAAGAACTTCTTCATGCAAGACAAAAAGTATGAATAATTTGCCGTGCATGCATGGTCTCTTTGGTATCCTCAACAGCGTTGTCGTTCTGAATACAACGTTAAGCTACTGTAAGCATTATCACGTTTTCCAGCAAACGTGAAAGCTTATTGCGACGTCAGATACGTTTAGCAACCACCACATTGTTTTCCTGAACTCAGATATTTGTTATATTATTTCAAAAAGCTTCAAGCATTTATTACAGCAATCAAAGTACATAAAACTCATTCTTGCGTTTAATTTAAATTGATACACGTCGTCGAGTTCCCACTACGTAGATCTTAAACTCTTTAATTTCTCGCTAATAACTTCACCGTCGTGGAATTAGGCTATATAAGGAATCCCTATCCATCTCAATTTTCTGGGGTTTTTGTCACTACCGACACAGATCGTTCGAGTTTAGATCAAAAGGCCCTTTGTCGGGAAGTTGGTATAACGTCTAACGATGAAGACCCTATACGGCTATATATATACACTCGAAACGTCGAAGTCCGGCTTGCATTTTTCATGCAGTTGTATGAATCCCCAACTTTCTTATTATCGTCACTACCTAGTACCAGACGACAAAATCATTGCACGTTTTCCCATTTCTCTTGCGCTGGCAACGCGATCAAATGTGGCACTTTGCGTTAGAGGAAAAATCGCACGTGTAACCTATAGACTTTATATATATATATATATATATATTGGCTGAGCTGTGTTCGAATGTATAGAGGAGTATATAGTGCAGCGGGTTTTCTGTATATACATATACAGTTATCGAAGTATATGTAGCCTATATAGAATTAATACGCACTGTTTACAGCTGTGTGGAATATATTCGGTATATTCTGCAATACCGCGGCTAACAGTCGACTGTGATAAAAATCAATATATTGGTAATACTTACGATTTAGCTTTATAGTCTACCAGCGCTTCCAATCATGACTCTGTCGAATTAAACTTACTTGTGAACTGATACGTAGCGAAGAAGCAAGAGGCGACTAGCTGCCTCTGTGTCGGACAGCTTGTATAATAGAATATTTCATCACGCTTCAGTTGTACCCACGAGGCAAGCAATGTTGATTGGTCATATATATATAATGATAAGAGATCTGGAATCTCGACAAAGTCTCTATATCATGACGACATGAGTTTAGAAGTTGTTTCAAAGAAATTCTCGTTATATTTTTCAGGCAGTTGCATCCCAACCAACGAAAGCTTGTTTATATTTGAAAATGTGAAAAAGCGCTAGTGGGTTGAATGACTTTATTACGTAATATATGAACAACGAGAGCGAGTGTTTCACCGGGATATCCAAATACGAGAAAACAATGTATGAAAATACGAGCGCGAAGAGTGAGTGTTTTCATACATTGTTTTCGAGTGTTTGGATATCCCGGTGAGACACGAGCTCGAGTTGTTTATATGGCTTCTCAAAAGAATCGAGACGTAACAGAATGTTTTCGTTTGCTGATTTGAATAGAATTCTTAACCAAGCATAACGTAATTAGGAATTCTATTCAAGTTATTTTGCAACATGCGTAATTAAGATATTTGATGAAATATATATATATATATATATATATATATATATATATATATATATATATATATATATATATATATATATATATATATATATATATATATATATATATATATATATATATATATATAGGTGAATGTCAATAAATATATTGAGTGTCGAATCATAAGAACAGAGTGCTCGATACAAAAGTAGAGCAAATAAAAGACAAACTTGAGTTACTTCGTTTAAAACATTTATTCACGACAAATTTGTTTCGTATGGCAAACTAGGCTTGCCACACTCATCAGGTGAATGGTGATATCGCGTATTTACATGATGTTATAACCTATAGGTAACTTGAGCTGTTATATACAAATGTTTGACGTCATTAGGAAAGCGTAAATATATGTTTGTAATCTGACTACTGGCTACAGAGCAGGAATTTTTTCCTGTGCCTACATGCCGATATTAGTTCGTTTCTTATATATATATATATATATATATATATATATATATATATATATATATATATATATATATATATATATATATATATATATATATATATATATAGTATATATAATAGATTTGAACACCACTGATTTCAAAATGAATATTATATATACATATATACATATATATATATATATATATGTAGTTATATATTGCTCTATGGCCTTTAGGTGATATTGAGCACTCTACAGGATGAGCCATTGCTGCTTACGCATTGTGCGCATGCTCACTGCTTGCAGTTTGAGCACTCTGGCAATGGTTTGATGTCCCACATTCGTGAGACATCAAAGGTAACTATTAATACTAGTTACTTTCATCCTGCTCATCAGCACTACACTGATGAGGCCCAAAAGGCCGAAACGGTACCGTCTGTAGTTAGATATTGCTCTATGGCCTTGTGTCATATTGAGCACTCTACAGGATGAGCCATTGCTGCTTACGCATTGTGCGCATGCTCACTGCTCGCAGTTTGAGCACTCTGGCAATGGTTTGATGTCCCACATTCGTGAGACATCAAAGGTAACTATTTATAGTGGTTACTTTCATCCTGCTCATCAGCACTACACTGATGAGGCCCAAAAGGCCGAAACGGTACCGTCTGTAGTTACATATATATATATATATATATATATATATATATATATATATATATATATATATATATATATATATATATATATATATATATATATATATATATAGATATTGCAATAAAGCACCTTTGCCAGGTGCTTTATTGACGTTTATGTTGGACAATTTCTTTGCAACACTTTCAATCGTAATTGGTGGCAAAGGATCTTGACTTCCGAATGATAACCATTCATCATTTACTTCAGGGTATTCTTTAGTCAAACTCGTAAAGAAACTGTTTATGTAATCAGCAGTTTGTTTATCGTTCATTGGGGCGTCTGATAGAGGGTCTGATAAGTCAAAGTTCTGTCTTTTATTTCCAACAATGCGTTTTACATTTTCCCACCATTTCTTTGAGTTTTGGTTATGAAAGGGTTTAATATTTTGTTCATAGAATACCCCGGCAGTGGCGTAACGGAGGAAGAGGGGGCCCTTAGGCATATTTGGTGTGGGAGTACCTGTTGACTGTTGACTGTTGACTGTTATTGTCATTGTTTGACTGAGATATTATATTTATTTTGAATATTTATAGAATGTTCTGGAAAATTCCATGTCTATAGCAATAACAGTCTCCAACACATGTAACAACTAATAAAAATAACTTTAAAATTTGTTTCATTTTTGAAATGGAATAAAAAAAGAGGTACCGATGTCGGCTTTATTATTTAGTATTATTTATCAATTTACGTTTTCTAAGTTTCTGGGCGATAGACAGTGGCTGATGGGGGCCCCTAACTGTCGGGGGCCCTTAGTTTTTAAACTAACCCTACCCAATGAGCGTTACGCCGCTGAATACCCGCTTGGCTTTTCTAATCTCTGCAACAATTAAGTTCCGCAATTGTTTGGATTGATCGACTCTTCCGAGTTGGTATGCCTTATCACGTTTCTGTATCAATTGTTTAATTCTTCCATTTATAAAAGGTTTGTCGTCATCTTGAATTTTGACTGACTTTAAAGGGAAGAATGCATCAACTATTTATGTTATTAATTCTAAAAACTTGTTGACTTTATCGTTTACACAAGAGGCATTCAACACGGGTGACCAGTTATATTCACTGATATACTGCTCAAAGGCTTGTCGTGACGAGGATTTCAGTGGTCTTACATTTATCCGTTTTGGCTTTTGCTTGTGCTGCATTTGTTCTTATGATGACCATATAATTGTACAGTGGTCTGAGGTATCAATTGGGGCCAATACAAGTGGGGCTTGGTAAAATTTATGAATGTCCGTCAAAATAAGGTCAAGAATTGCCGAATTTCTGGTAGGTTGTTTGATGACTTGTTTTAAGTGGCATTGTCTATTGATCACTGATCTTTGTACTAAAGCCATTACTTGCAGGATTGAAATCACCAGCAGCTATAATTGACGTATTTGGGCTTTCTGATTTCAACATATCATAACAATAACAAAAGTACTCATAAAACCTGATCAAATTTTCCTGATCTGTGGATGGAGGAATATATTAAACGCATGCAACCGCAATTCTTGATGTGGATCGAGGAAACCATTTCGGCCGCAAAACAATTCAGAGGCACTCGAAGTCTTCGTTAGATAGGTCGGATCGGACTTTTGAAGGAATAGTTTCTTTAACATAGATTGCGACGCCACCACCTCTTCCTATCGTTCTATCCTTCCTTGTTAGATTAAGACTCTTAAATGTTCCGGTCTCAATCTTCTTCCTGAGGCAAATGTTTCTCGGGATTCAGGATCCTGAGAACCACTTTTTGTATGTGCGATTTTGCGTAGCAGTACATTGCTATCGAGTTAGCAAAATGTGTATGTTTGTGACATTGAGAGACCATTTTATAAATTTTGTAAAACTCGCAGCCAGTCCGAGAAGAGGGTACATCGACAATGTGTCAATGACGTATGCTGTTCTGTCGGGTGATTATTAGTTAAAATATCTCGTAGTACATTTTAATTTATAGCCTTATATTTATGAATACAATGAGTTTATGCGTTTATTTAGTTCAAAATAAAACAAGCGAAATCATAGTCTATGGCATAGACCAGCCTCGTCCCCTAGCGCTTTTAATTGTACACGCAGTAGCGTGAAGAACACGCGGGATGACAAACGTGGGGGAAGTTGGAGCCTGGGGACGAGGCTGAGCATAGACTGTATTGGCATATTCTGTAAGCTAACAAATCTCCTTGAAGTGCTTTAAATTTACATATGAATCTATAGATTTTGGTACGTCATACTACGCTGCTAGACTCCTAGAGTCTTACCGCGTGTTGTAGTTTCTTTGTATTTCACGTTTACGATTAAAAATTGAAAATATTGCATTCTTAACGAGAAAGGTTCGGTGAAGTGCATCGCAAGCAGATACAAACACGCTGTATATCATATGTCATGCAATTTATAATCGACTACAAATTTGTCGCGTGAATAGTATACATTTATACTACAGCAATAGCATATGAATAAGAAACAAAAGTCATTGTATTATAGGGTATAAATCAAATTATTTTTCTAATTATAAAGTACGTCATCTTGAAATAATCACGTAAACATCAAGGGGTATGGCCACTTTATTAATCAGGTCCTTTCAAAAACATACAAAATGTGAATCCAGTTATTTCATGATAACAAAACGTTAATTAAAGTCTACGCAGAATGCCAGATACATGTACACCTTGCGTACCTACTTTTTCCAGGTGTCCATACATATGGGGAATGGTATAACAAACTTATTTTTTATTAATCAGTCAATTAATCAATGTTTCCATTTGATCGTAACTCGGATCAACCGAGGTAGAGACTGCTGATGAGACTTGGCAGCACGCGATCTTATCGTGTATTCCATAAATTAAAACCTAGTTGGAACATTGACCAAACCTTTATTTTGTTAATCTTTTAAGTTTGTTTTTGTTAGTTTAGGGTGTACATCAGTTAAGATACTTCAAGAAAACCTCTAAAAATGTCAACGGATACTTTGACAAACTCTCTGGGCAAACCAGGCAAATTTCAAGTCCTCCTCTACTTATATCTCTCTACAACCTGGGTTTTTACATGCTGGAACCATCTTGGAATGGCATTTATGGGAGCGAAAACTAAACATCATTGCACGGTGGCAAACAACACAGATGTTAGTCGGCTTGTACCATTGATAAGAAAAAATGGAAAGTCAGTATGGGACGGATGTCATCTGTTTGATGGTTATAATACTACAGAAAAGATACCATGCCCAAATGGTTGGACTTATGACCTCCCTGAAGGAGAAGCGACTATAATATCTGAGGTAACAATTTCTCAAATTTATATATTCCGGCAGTTTAGATACAAACCACGACAGCTTATTGTATAATACTATACCTACACTGGACGACCACGTCTGAGACAACCTTTTCAGGAGAGAAATGCTAATGCCGGCTATGGATTAAACTACCTGAATAAAATACAAGTAAAACTTGGACGTAAAACTTCGATGAAGGGCCTTCGCTCGAAACGTCGAAGTTATATTTGTATTTTTCAGGTAGTTGAATCCCTACCATCTGCATTTCTCTGGTGTTTTGTTTCTACCTACACCAGCACAGAGAATTTGAGTTTATATCCTTTGCAGGCAGTTCGATCTGACTGAAATGTTTACAGTTTATTGCAGAATACAACCTATACACTGGACCCGACGATTGAGATGTCTTTTAATCTTCGGATAATTCATACACTAAGCACGGCAGCTTATTGTAGCTAGAGTGCTACCTAACACCGCACAACATGGTTGCTGGCGTTCAGGAGCCATAGAGCGATACTACGTCCATTGTATATATGGCGATAATTTTGAATTCAAATATGTGTTTCGAAAATTGCAAAATTTAGTTGAATTAAGAATTCTAAAGTTACAAATTTCATGCACATGCAGTGAATCCGCAATCATGGACATGTAGCAATCTGAGCCTGGAGTACGTTACTGGCTAACATTCCAAACATTATTGGCTACTTGTTGGACTTCACGTTTAATAATGGCGCCCAATCCAGTCTTTAGATAACATTTACTCCAATAACTCCATTATTTTCTATTTAGTGGGATCTTGTCTGTGACGACGCTTACAAAGTCAGCCTAGCCACAAGCATGTATTTTGTCGGAGTAACGTTAGGGAGTCTGGTGTTCGGAACATTATCAGATAAATATGGAAGAAGACCTGTGTTTCTGTTTACAATGTTCTGCCCATTTGTTCTTGGCTTGTTTTTGTTCTTTATAAAGAACTATATCGCATTTGTTGTTTTTCGGTTCTTCCTCGGATTCGTTCTTCAGGTACAGTAATTATACAATGAATTGGATCAATTACTAAATAATAAACTTAGCTGCACTGTAAGATTTATTTTCCTTACTTCTAGGGTCTACAAATTACCGCCTTTACCAGTCAGGTAGAGATGCTTTCCACTCAGTACAGACCATCCTTCGGCATTGGACAAGGGTTCTTTTGGGTTACTGGAGTCATGTCATTGGCACTGGTCTCGTATCTCATCAAAGATTGGCATTACATTCAGTTGGTGTCCACCACAATTTTCCTGTTCCAAATTGGATTTGTTTGGTAGGTATTGGTTGGCAATTCACTAGATGATTGGTGGCTTCAGTTAGCGCTATGGGACAGCAGAAAAATAGAGGATAGGCCTATTACGCTTGCGAGAAGATATGGATTTTATGCCACGAGATATGGATTTTTACCACAAGAACATAAAATCCATATCTTTGAGTCACCATATAATGTTCTTTTTATTATCTGGACGTATTCATAGTGAAGCAAATGCACGCAATTTTATTTTCATGAAAATAGTAAAAACAACACAATAATGATTTGAAAAGGATTCTTTAAAAATGTTGACATCATGTAACGTTTTTGTTGGATTTTCGTTTTCTTGCTGCTCGCAGAAATGATTAATATCGTGTTCACTTAAGTCAACAAACTTCGAACTGATAGCCATTTCAGAACAAGAATGAAACTTTTGGCGGGAAGATTTCGCTCACGTCACTTCAATATAAATGCCACTCACGAGCGTTATTTTACGGAAAAAAGGCCACTTGCTCCCGGATGTAGTGACATATGAGTTCTATACGAGTATTTTAGTTCCCAGCAAAACACCTTCGTCCATATAATAAAAAGGATCAACTTCGGAAACAGAACATTTGCCATACTGGTGTGACCTCATCGATTATTCACTGTATTCCTACCAATGACTAGAAATTTTAAGAACCTTTTCTAACATGTCAGCAACACCAATGTAAATTTGCACTGCTAAGCATTTATGCATAGCACTCATACTCTATCCAGCTCTAGTTATGAGATCAGTGACATGAAAGGAATAGATTTCTAGACTGGAGTGTCGAAATGATGGGCCTCAAATGTGATATGTTCACATTCATTACTTTTCTATAGGTGTTTACCCGAATCCATTCGTTGGCTTCTAATCAATAACCGCTTTGACAAAGCAGAGAAAGTCGTTAGAAACATCTGCTCTTTCAACAAGATTACTTTCCCACGAGATATATTTGATAAAACGGTGAATAAGATTGAAAACAAGACGGATATCAAGAATTTTACAATTGTTTATATTTTCAAATCAAGTGTGTTGAGGAAACGGTCTTTGATTATGATGGTGGTTTGGTAAGTACTGCCTGGTATTGTCTGCTCGGTAAGTACTGCCTTGGTAGAACTAGTCTAGCTAGGTTAAGTAGATCTTGGTAGGGTTAATTAGTGAGATCAAAGACGCCCGATTAAGGTTTGTCAGTGAGACTAAGAAATTCCTGACTAAGTTGAGATAAAAAAACTCCAACTGAGGTCAACAAACCCCTGATGATCAAGAAACTTCTGATTAATCTCACAAACGAAGGTCAGACCTCTGTCGATCCACACCCAAATTTTTACCTCCATAATGGCCAGGAAGTTATGTTTTTACCTGGGTTTGTTAATAATATGTATGCGTGTTTGTCTGTCAGAACTCGCTGTTTTATAACATTATTGTTTTAACAATGGACCAATAAGGGATGGATAATTTCTAGACCTCGCGAGGGAAAAGTTTAGAACTGATAGAGATATATATCCAGAATAAATACAATGACTACTGTATGTCCATTTCGTAACTTTCCAGGTTTTCAATATCTCTGGGTTACTTTGGACTGGCATTGAATATCTCGAGTCTTGCTGGAAATAAATACTTAAACTTCTTCATTAGTGGAGCATTGGAGATTATCATCATTGCTTTGACCATATTTGTCTCAAACAGGTGCGTTGTAGCAGTATATTGAGGAACACTGTCGAGCATTTCCTTACAGAAACCTCATTAATACGAACACCTCTCTCATACGAACACCTCTCTCTGATACGGGCGCATCTCTATTACGAGGAGTTCCCAATATTTCTGAATTCTCTTATTTACAAATGTGTACAGATAATACTAGACGGCAAAATTATGGCCACATGCAGGCTCTATAAAATTTTCCCCTGTGAAGTTAATTCGTGCACTACAAACACAAATGAGAGTTTGATAGAAAGGAGGGAAAAAACGAAAAAACATCGTTATTTTCACGTTTAAAAGAGAAATATTTTTACTTTTGTGCATGTGTGAATAAAAATTGTGATTTCAAGTCAATGATTAGAAAAATATATTTGTTTAGAAAGTTTTTACTCATGCAATCAGAAATCTTCCAAAATTATCATATTCTTCGCGCTACAATGTTCTGACATTCCCAACTTAGTCTCGCCAATAGCTATTTCACATAATAACGAAGGTGCGCTCCCCAAGCCATTATTACCGAGTTATGATATACTGGTAAAGGTATATTGTAGTCTTTCAATAAACCGTTTTCACACAATTTGACGCTGTTTTTCTTGGCTACCTGGGTTGTAAGCCAACGGTAAAAAAATTTGATTTTGTTCTCTCACGTGCGAATCATCTGACACGTGTAAAAACTTACAAAAATTGCTGCATCACATCAGTTAGTTCCTCCCAATTCACTCAAACCTAAAATCGCATAAAAAAATATTCAACGATATTAGTGAATTTCTGATTCAAATCCGCCATATGCTTCTTGAATTTTGAGTTAAAACACTCTAAACGTACCTATTTTCTAAAGAGCAGGGGGACAACTTTTTATGTCCACGCCCTGTATATTTTTCATAAACATAGAAAGATGGATTTAATTTTTTGATTCCGTGCAGTATTTGAGGTAGCCTGTATATGTGGCTGAAGGATTGAAAATTAAAGTTAAATTAAATATTTTTAATAATCTAGGTTTGGACGACGCAAGTCATTGTCTGTTTATTTTCTTATCGGCGGAATAGCTCTTATTATTGCAGGAGGATTGTCAAAGTCGAACAGTAAGATATTCTGATGTTTTCTTGACTTATTCACAGATTATGTTTATTTCGTCTTTAAGCAAGATTTAGTCCCGGACTGACCCGAGGTCGGCAGTTAGGATTCTTCTGCTCAATCTCTTTCTGTCATTCAATTCCTCGATATTCAAACATTCTTTTACCCGGATTCTTACCCGAAGTTGGCTGCTAAATTTACTTCAATTTCTTTCTCTTCTTCAATTCCTTGATATTCAGATCTCTGTTACCAAGCTAGTCTCAGACTAACCCAATGCTGGCTGTTGCTATTCTTCTCAATCTCTTTCTGTCCCTTCGTATTTAGATTTTCTCACCTACGTCTGATTTCTTCATTTCATGTCTCAGGTAGACTGGACTTTTTTTCGTCTCTTCTTATTACATTTCCATACCTCAATCTTGTTTCCCTCACCCTCTCTGCCACTCCACATTTTAGGTAATATCACAAAATTAAAAGCTAAAGTAAGAGAGAGAGAAAGGAGTACAATCATTTGCAAAGAGGAGTACAGTCATTTGCGCGAATGAAACTAAAACCTGCTCCCATTGTTTTTATTAGTGTAGCATTTCATAATTTCAACATCTGTCTTGTTACAGAAAGTGTCCAGACCCTTGTGATGATTTTTGCGATAGCAGGAAGAATGTCGCTGACTGGAAATTTTTCGATTTGTTTTTTTTATACTTCTGAACTTTATCCTACTACGATACGGTATGTATTTAATATCATCTCATTAATTATCACTCTCAATTTTAGATAGTTAGATTGTATATATATATATATATATATATATATATATATATATATATATATATATATATATATATATATATATATATATATATATATATATATATATATATATATATATATATATATATATATATATATATATATATATATATATATATATATTTTATATAATTCTTACTGTAGGAACGTAGGTGTTGGAGCAGGGATGTTCTGGACACGATTTGCTGGCATTATAGCACCACAAATGTTGTTACTGGTATGTAACTAAGCATGCATGCAATGAACGTGAATAGTGCAACAATATTGCACCATTCACTGGCAGGTGAATAATTGTTTTAGCATATACCATAAGAAAACAAAACAAAAATGACCAAAAAACAACGAAAATATGTTTAAAACAATTTGTATCACAGCTCCCGTAAGAGTTGTAAACAAAACAGTGTTTACGAGCTTTTAGTTACTAATTCTATTCATTAGAAATAGTTTTAAAGAATAACTTAGGGATGTTAATTGTTAAAGTACCCTGCGAGCCAAGTCTTCTCGTATTTCTTCACGGCATGGCACGGAGAAGCGAGAGAGACTCTGCAGAACTTGTGTATATTCTTTGTGGAGCCGACAATCCGAAAACTTGGATAATTATGCGACCGGTTTTGATCCGAACCGGGAACTACTTATTAAATCTTCTTCTGAGAAATAGGCAGTTGCTTAGCAACCTAATAGCGCAAGCTCAAATGAATTTATACACAAGTTCTGCAGAGTCTCTCTCGCTTCTCCGTGCCGAGAAGAAATACGAGAGGACTTTGCTCGCAGGGTATTGTTAAAGGTACCAGAGCTGCATAAAAACGATTAAATATCTGTTCTATTTTCAATTTGTTTCAAATTAATAAAGGCAATCATGTGATGGCAACTCAGCAAGAGCACCTCCACCTTTGAATTTATTTATTAATAAAATGTTAAACATGTCCGAGATTCATTTATACAATAAATTCGTGATGCATGTTGAATCCTATAACCATAATCTAACCTCTACAGTGGCGTAGCCAGCCCGACAATATATTTAGTCCCGCTATACAAATTCAAAATTATTATCATTATTCATTTCTTTAAAAATTGATTGTTTTCACAGTCAATGAACTCGAAAATATTTGCATAGACTAAATCGTAGGGCTGGCTACGCTACTGAACTTTTAACCCTAATCTAATCTTAATCTATTCTGACCCCAATCTAACCCCAATCTAAACTTGACGACCTTTTTTTTAATCTATCCTATCCCAGCGCAACCTCCCTCCCTTAAGACTGCATACGTTCCCCAGCGATAACCCAATTTTCAATTTAGATTTAACGCAAATGTAATCAATTTTTCCTAGGCCTTGGGCATCATATAAGACCACTATATTTTAAGTTACAGCGGCAATTTAACAATATGTTTCCATATAGGGCGAATACACAGCCGAGGCCGTACCTTTTATCATATTTGGTGGAATGCTTCTGCTGTCAGGTGCACTTGCCCTATTGCTACCAGAAACTTTAAATGTGAAACTGCCGGAGACACTGCAGGATGTAAGAAAACTTGAAATGCCACAAGAAGGAAAGGGAAAGAAGAGCCTTAATGCTGAGAGAGAAAATATCGAACTTGTCTCGTGAAAGTAAAGATAGTTAGATTAATGTTAGCTTCGTGAATGTATAAGCATAATTACTTACTACATATTATAGCTTGCCTAACAGGGTTTGGTAGAAAACGAGGGAGGGGATGCAGGGTCGCAGTTGCAGAGTTGGGGTGAAATGGATGATTCCAGCTATAGACGAAATTTTGATCTGGACAAGAAGAACTTGCTGGAAAGATAACTGGAAAGAGCATCTTAAAATGACTAAAATTGCAAAGTTTGGTTGTGAATTGTTGTAAAGTGAGGAAAATATAGCCCTGTGAAGTTCGCAAATTTTGTATATATTTGCATTACGCGCGGGAAAAATAACCATTTTTGAGCCGAAAGTGGTTATTTTCACCGCGCGTAATACAAATATATATAATTATATATATATATATATATATATATATATACATATATACAAAATTTGCGAACTTCACAGGTCTATATATGTTCTTCATTTTACAACATTTAGCAACCAATCTTTGCCGTTTTACTCATTCAAAGACTGTCTTTCTAGTTGTGGTGTTGGATTTCGTTCTTCTTGCCTTGATCAATATTTAGTCAAAAGCTGGAATCACCCATTTTGAAATGAAATTGAAAAACTAAAAAAATTAAAACTGAAATTGGAACTTGCACGTGATAAGAGCATTCGTATTCTTCCTGAACAATTAAAAAATTAATGATATTTGTTGAGAAAACTTAAATTAAAGTTTATGTCACTTTCGGCAGATGGGGGGTGAAAGGCGCTTGCTGCGACGACAATTTGCGACAATTGACTTCCAAAGTTCACGTTCTACTGAGAACGACAGACTGGTTCATCTCGTGCCGTCGACGTACAACAAACGACACCAGTTTTAACTCACGCTGTTATTCTACAATCTAGCATATACAAAAAAGCCAGTTTTATTTTAACTTCGCATGGGAAGTATATTCACTGATGTTACGCTATATGCATGCAGTGCCACTATGCACAGGTTTCGTGCGTTCGACTCCTACTCAACTTCGACTTCTAGTCAACACTGTTGAATGCCTGGCTGTTTGTGCATAAACATAATTAGTTAAGATGCATGCTATATAACCTTGCTAGCACGGCTACCGGGGTCAGAGGTGCATGTTTGTATGATTTCTGCAAAAAATCTGAAAGCGTGCCGTAACATTACACGTAATGTTATCACAATAGCAAAAACAATTATATTTCAGGCATGCATGCAATCAAACAAGGACCTATTAACACCTACATATTTGACCTAATATATATATTTTTTATATACTAATTTGCCTCAAAAAGTTTAATTAACAAATAAGATAAAGTATTTAAAAAAATAGGGCTAGGAGCTTCCCTGCTGACAGAGGTCTCTATTTGTGTAGGAAAACGAAGAAAAGACCTCTGCCTAGATCTGACACGTTTTCTGTCGCGCATGTGCAAAAATTGCCATGACAACGAGTGATGTTCATCACGTGATATCAAACCGGTTTTTGCGGGCGCAACTTTGTACAAACAAATGTATCTCGGCGCGATAAAACAGAAAAGATTGCTCTCTTTTGTTCTTCTGTCACTGCTTTCACAGTTTCATCTTTAAAAATATCAATTACATAACTTAAGAGCACTTTCAAACATCAAAAACCTCGAAATGACTGACACGCTGTGTAAGCCGCTATTTTGACACAACGGGCTCAATGTCATTACAGCGTAATTCAGCTCTGATCGAGCATGCGTACTATTTGTTTCCTTAAACCGGTTTCAGAACTTGTTTTACAAACTGGTTTGACTCGTCCACGATCATGGACTGAGGATTTTAAATGTCAGATCTAGGCAGATGTCTTTTCTCCTTCGCTTTCCTGCACGAATAGAAACCTCTGTTAGCAGGGAAGCTAGGAGCCTACTAGAAATCAAACAATCTCGTTCCCCGAGCATGCCCGTTCGCAGGTTAAGGGTGGATATAGCTCTGGAGAAATCGAATTCATTCAGGCCGGTGATTAGCTAGTTGAATTTCTAACGTGAGTTCTACGCATGCGCGGTAATTGTTGCAAAATATTATTAGAATTTCCCGTCGAAAATTTACACTGAAATCGATTGAAAACAACTAAAAATTCTGGGGTAAATATGTACGAAAGCTTCGGATTGATAGGGATACAAGTACCTGAAAAATACAAGGAGAACTTCGACGTTTCGAGCGAAGGCGCTTCGACTTGTACTGTTTAGTGTTTGTATACATAATACGAGGTAGATTAATCTTCGAGTTAAGCCCCTCGAGTTAAGCCCTTTTCGAGGCCCCGGCTACGCCCAAACCACATCCATTTTCGTCAAAGGCTTAATTAACTTGAAGAAGAAAACACAACTTGGAAAGTTCGAGATAAGCCCTCTTTTTTCTCGGGGCTTAACTCGAACTATCCAAGTTGTGTTTCTTTCTTCGAGTTAAGCCCTTGACGAAAATGGGTGTGGTTTGGGTGTGGTCGGGGCTTAACTCGAAAAGGGCTTAACTCGAGGGGCTTAACTCGAAGATTACCTACCTCAGATTGTTCCACACTTCAATTCTTTTGTTTGCAAGATCTAGGGTGTGTATTGTATAACTTTTTCGGCTACTACTAAAAAGCGATACAGCGATACAACGATACAGCGATACAGAAACCGGAACCTGGAACCGTGCATAATTTATGCAAATTGGAGCATTTTGCACCACAGGAGATATACATAATAATAATTTACAGGGGGTGGGGCGTAATTCAATGGTAGTATAAAATATCGTATGCAAAGCATTTTGATGATTAAACTATTAACTATGACAAAACAAAGAATGAACATCGTTGTAGCACTACATAGTAAAACATGTTTCGTGATTGAGTGGCCATTCTTCTTGTCTGTTTTGATATGACTGCATGTAACGCACTTAGTTTATTTAGCCGCCGCACTTGATTATGAAATGCCAGCAGACAGAGAAGCCTGAGAAGGAAACCACGGGGGTTAGGGTAAAATGCTGATACGGACGGACGGACGGATGACCTATTTTTCTTTAAAATATGTTTTAGACATCATATCCGCGTTTTACCCGATCGGGTAAAACGCGGATATGGTGTAAAACATACTTTTCGGCTCTTTCAAAGGCATATCTAACGCGTGGTGTAAAATATACTTTTCGGCTCGTTAAAAGGCATATCCGCGTTTTATTCGATCGGGTTAAACGCGGATATGGTGTAAAATATGCTTTTCGGCTCTTTAAAAGGCATATCCCCGTTTTACCCGATCGGGTAAAACGCGGATATGGTGTAAAATATACTTTTCGGCTCATTAAAAGGCATATCCGCGTTTTACCCGATCGGGTAAAACGCGGATATGGTGTAAAATATGATTTTCGGCTCTTTAAAAGGCATATCCGCGTTTTACCCGATGGGGTAAAACGCGGATATGGTGTAAAATATGCTTTTCGGCTCTTTAAAAGGCATATCCGCGTTTTATTCGATCGGGTAAAACGCGGATATGGTGTAAAATATGCTTTTCGGCTCTTTAAAAGGCATATCCCCGTTTTACCCGATGGGGTAAAACGCGGATATGGTGTAAAATATACTTTTCGGCTCATTAAAAGGCATATCCGCGTTTTACCCGATCGGGTAAATTAAACGCGGATATGCCTTTGAAAGAGCCAAAAAGTATATTTTACACCATATCCGCGTTTTACCAGATCGGGTAAAACGCGGATACGCCTTTGAAAGAGCCGAAAAGTATATTTTACACCATATCCGCGTTTTACCCGATCGGGTAAAACGCGGATTTGATGTTTAAAAATTTATTTTAGAGAAAAATAGGTCATCCGTCCGTCCGTATCAGCGTTTTACCCTAACCCGAAACCACGGCACGCAAAGCAGATTGCCCTGAATTCAGCAGCAATTGTGCGCTAAGTTAAGTAATTAGAGTGCAGTGTAGTGTAGTATAAGATGCAATCCATCGGGGCGGCGGGCGTTGGGTGATAGATACCAAATATACTTTTTTAGAGCTGCCCCAATATCGCAAGACCTTTATTTTGAAGATGCCCCCACCTTCATTTACAAATTTAGGATGCCCCCTCCAACATTTAAATTGTTACTTAGTTGGTGTAAAATAGGTAATGGTACAAGTACTGGTGTAAGACATTGTGTAGCCTAAATAATAAGAGAACCAGTATAATGGCATAATGCTCACTAGGGTTAGTTAAAAAACCAAGGGCCCCCGACAGTTAGGGGCCCCCATCAGCCACAGCCTATCACCCAGAAAATTAGACTGAAAACGTAAAAAATGCAGGTTACAAATCGATGGAAAAATACAAAATTAATAATGCTAAATAATAAACCCTCCATCGACGATGGTATTCCATCTCAAATAGAACAAAAGTTATTCTTAAAAGTTAATTGTTACATGTGTTGGAGACTGTTATTGTCATTGTTATAGACATAGAATTTTCCATTCTACTGATAAATATTCAATATAAAGATAAAATCTTAGTCAGGCAATGACAGTCAATAGGGGCCACACCAGGGGGGCCCCCTCTTCCTACATTATGCCACTGGCCCCTCTCCCTGCCTCCCATTATTAATAACCGGTGATCCCTAATCATTCATTATATACATTTCATACAATTTCATATTATTTAATTAATATATACATCACACTATAAACACAGAAAGTCAGAAACAAGTGCTAATACTAAATGGTAGAAATACACAATAATGGAAAAAGGCTTTCAGTCAATTATTTGCCAGTATGATATTCGTATGCCTATATGATGTTAAGATGTATCATCTTAGGCCCTGTTCATATGAGCCAGACTAGCCTGCCTTGCCAGAATAGAAATTGTTATCATATGAGTCAGGATATTGGCAAACCAAGACACTGAAGATAAGCCTGGCTAACTAGGCCAGCTCGAGTCATCTAATGTCCATTTCATGTACTATATATACATATAATCACTGCATAATCTGCAATAGCACAACATATTTCAACTTTTCATATTTTCATGCACTTAA